GGGGTGTCTCACCGTGTTTGGAGGATGAGGAGGCGGCAATAAAGCTGGGCGGAAAGCAGGTGTGGCTGGATGCGGGGCTCAGGATGGGGACGCTGGGACAGCCACCAGTCCAGCACCCTGTCCACAGCAGGTCCCAGCAAGCATCGTCCTGCACAGTGACAACACTGGGCAGCCCCCCCGGCAAAGCCCCCACTCTCCCTGACCCACTGCAGCAGCCTCAGGATCCAAAATTGGGGGCCATCCAAGCAGAAACGCTTTTTTAATCACACACCAGAGCGCTGTGCCGGGGTGTCCCCCAGCCCGCCCGGCTGCGGGCGGTGCCTGTCCCCCACGGGACGAGTCTCAGTCCAGCGTCACCCTGCCCAGGCGTCCTGCCCGGAAATCCCGCAGGAACTCGTATGCGGCAGCCGGGTAGTTGAGCATCATCACGTTGACGTTCCCTGGAGATGGGGGCAGCGGGTGCAGAAGGAGGTGTCAGCAGAGCCGGATCCCCAAAAGCGTGGCCCCTGCACCCCGGGCGGCAGAGATCTGCCCTTTCCCCACTCCAAGTACTCACCTGTGCCCGTCAGCACCTTCACCTTCTGCGTCCTGCCCCGGGCAAGGGCCACGCGCCTCAGCACGGGCTCGATGTCATCGCAGGCCTCGGCCAGCCCGTAGCGCTGCACGTACCTGCCGAAGGTGGTGGCTTACAGCCTGCTAGCATCACTTCCATCCACCTCCCCCCGCCCCCCAAAATTCCCCAGGGATGGTTTCTCCATCACCCGCTTGGGACCACAGGCCATGGACACAGCCTAGGGCCCTCTCCGGTTCTCCCGTCGGCTCACCCGAACTGCTGCTGCTTGTTCAGGACGTACAGGAGGTAGTCGGCCATGATGTCCTCCCCCACCAGGTGGTCACGGATGGCTCCTGGAAAAGATGGTCAAACCCTGCTCCAAGCCCTGGCCACCCCACCTGCCGTCCACGTGCCACCTGTGGGCACCCAGGCAGCACACGCAAGCCGGGGTGGGGGTCCTGCAAGCAGCAGACTCCCACCCCGGCCTCAGGTAGCAGCCCCAGCCGGGGCTGGAAGCCATGTTTGGGGAATCCCCCCCCCCAAGCCACAGCCTCCACCTCACCACACAGCGCCAGCTTCATGCCCGTCTCCACATCCCCCAGCTTTGGGGGCAGCACGCCAGGCGTGTCCACCAGGTACATGAGGGGCTTCTCGCACACCTGGGATGGGGAAGAGGTGGGGGAGGCAAGGGCTGTTACAACGTGCGGCTTGGTAATTAGCACAGCGGACCCCAGCACAGCGTTGAGCTCTTTCATTAAGGCCTTGCCAGAAAGGGGACCCGAGCAACCCTTTTGAGATGAGCTCCGGATGCCACAAGATTTTCCAGAGCTCCTGCGAGAGGACGCAGGGAGGCAGAGGCCACCACCCAGCCAGCTGCCTGCACCGCAGGGGACGTTACCTGGATTCTGGTCAGCACCGCCTTGGTGATGCCTGGCTCGCCACCGACAGCAGTGGCTTTGCCTTTGGGGAAAGGAGAGACAGAGTCAGAGAAGCAAATGATGCTCCGCTCCATGGCTGTGCCGGCAGCTCCTCCCCGAGCTCAGGTGCCGCGGAGAAATACCCTTTTTGAGGTGCAGCCTCCGCAGAGAGTTGATGAGGGAAGACTTGCCCATGTTGGGCACACCGATCACCAGGATGCTGTACTCGGTGCTCTGGAAGCGAGGGGGACGTGGGCAGGGAGCAGACGGTTATTGGTCACCCACTCCAGGAGCAATGGGCAGTCGCAAGAGCGAAAAATCCCAGCCTTTGCTGGTGTTCCGGCACATGTGCGAGCAGCCTCATCCCTCCAGCTGGAGAGGGAGGTCACCTGCAGATGGCCACCCTGACTCCCCGCACGTGCACTGGCAGCCTCACTACCACATCTCACCTCAGCCCTGTGGTATCGCGGGCTGTTGCCCACCAGCTTGGCAACCAGGGGAATGATCTGCAGAGAAAAGACGGAGAAGGGCTGTCATGGTGGCTCTGAGCCCAGGCTGGCGGCAGCCACTCACTCAGAGGACGCTGTGCCAAGAGGATGCGCAAAATGGGGGCCAAGCAGAGGACGGGGCGCCTTGGACAAGATGGAAATGAAGGTTGCTCTTGACCAGCCAGCATCACCTCCCCACAGTAGGGCACTGAGGCCTCTCCACGGGGCTGGGAGATTGGCACATGGTCCTCAGCTGCCAACAGCAAGGAGCAGGGCTGGGCATGGGGCTGCCGGCCCATTACCTTCTTGACGTTGCCATCGTGCTGGCAGTCAGTGAAGACAACGTTCAAGCATCCCTGCTGCTTCAGGTGCTCCAAGACTGTCTGAAGGGGACAGGCAGAGGCATTGCTGGCACCTGTGACCCACGGGCCCCCAGTCAGCCTACCCTGTCCTGTAGCTCACCGTCTGCCGGCGAGGATCAGCCAGGTCCATCTTGTTCAGCACCAGGATGTGCGGGCGGATGCCCAGTACCTCTTGCAGCATGGGGTTACGGCCCGACAGCGGGATGTGAGTGCCGCTAAGGAAAATGATTGTGTGCTGGCATGGGAGCAGGTACCAAGGCGGGGCGGGGGTTGAAGCTTATGGGGCTGGTGCAGAGCTGCAGAGGGGGACGGGACCGGGAGAATGACAGGCGGCCGGGAGGGAAACGGGGGGGAGCAGTGCAGGGGACGGGGGCCCGGCTCCTGCTACCCCCGGGGGACACTCTCGGCGGGGATGACGGGGATGAAGAGCCGTGCCGGAGGATATGCGAGCGTCATGCACCTCGATGAGACAGTCGGCGCGCCGCAGGGAAACCCGCACATGCCGCAGGCCCGCAACGCAGCGC